TTAAAATTTTTATCCATCTCGCGACCGATATCACGAGTGGGTACAATTAAATAATCAATTTCAGCACGTGCTTTATCAAAATTACGTAATTAAATCTAAATAAAAAATTGTCAATCTCCAAACTCTAAAGTTCAGAGCTCATTAAAAATTTTATTAAATATTTATCAAAAAAAGGTTATTAAATTTTAATAATACCCATATACAGAAGGTATGTAAGCTTCGAATATCATCTAATTTGAAACCGTCGCATAGCTTCCTCTTGAGAGAAAGCAATATCTATACACTTCCTGTTGTCGCAGGCACTCTTTTTTGATATGCAGGGACAAGAAATAATAATTAGAAGTGATAATAATTTACTATAATTTTGTATAAATACCCATGTGAGTCTCATTCAGCCATCAGTTACGAACTGGCTCAACATCAAAGGAGTCAAAGACAACTAGGACAATGTCGAAGCTGACTCTCGTGTAACTAACATATTCTTTCAAATTTACTGTAAAAAATTTTTTTTTATAAATATTGCATTTTTGGTAGATTTATTTACAAAAGAAATTGTTCATTTGTTCACTTTAAATTTCTATCTACCAAGTATAACATATTCATTTGAATAAAGAAACATTTAATTTCTTTTCGAAGCTTCGCCGCTGTAGCGGTCTTGATGCTGAGCGATCCTTGCTCAGCTTCGGAAAATTTACCTGGACAAGACTTGGGGGAGGTCAAGCGATCCTGGTTCCCGGAAGATTACAAACGTTCCTACTGGTATCCATTATTCTATAAGCGCAGCGTAGGTGACCGACACAACTTGGAGGACAAACGTTCCTGGTTCCCGGAAGATTACAAACGTTCCTTGTGGAATCCGGAATTCGATAAGCTTAGCGAAGAAGACCAACAAAACTCGTGGTCTGATCCTAAGCGGTGGTCTGAACTGGCGGATCTTTTATCACATTATCAAACGGATCATGTTAAAACCAAACGTTCTGGCATCAACCTTTGATTTGATATGAAGTAAAGCGTCTTGGTGATCATTTACGGTTGGATAAATAAATAAATTGAATTAAAATTATTCAATACTGTGATAATGTATCAGGATAATTTTGTACAACTAATCAGAATATGAAGTACAATTTTTTTTCCCTTCTAGCTGCAGTTGAGTTTACTCCCAAAGCTCATTAATCTTGATGAATTTTTGCATCGCGATTATATATAGCAAATGGATTTGCATACAACTGCGAATAAGACTTGCTAATGTACGCTGGCGTACGTAGATATATGCTATATATAGTATATACGTATATATGCTAAAGGCTATATATATATATAAAAGGGAGCGAAAAGCTCGCGCGCAAAAAAGAAAAAGAAAGAGAGAGAGAGAGAGAGAGAGAGAGAGAGAGTAAGCGCGCACGGTAGAAGCGACGACGACGACGACGACGACGACGTGGCCATTGTTCTAGCGGTGCCCGTGTTCGTGCTCAAGTGGCCGATCGCTACCCCGTGCGCGCGCGCGCCCGCTCCGCACCGACGTCGAGGCATCGCTGCTCTCTGGTGCTGCCACTGCTGCTGCTGCATCGCGTATACTATATAGTCTACTCCGTAGCCCCCTCGCAGAGCCCAAGCTCACGTATTACACCTTTTTCGCTCCCTCTCTCTCTCTCTCTCTCTCTTCGCGATCTTTCAACTCTCGTGTACACTTCACTCGACTCGTCGAATGAAAGTCGCATTTTAATTGCTATCGAAGATAAGAGAAAAGAGAGAGAGAGAGAGAGAGAGAGAGGAATCTTGCGAAACATTCGCACAGCTTCGTTATGCGACTCGGTGGACGCTTTGCCTGCGATATATACATTCGTCGAGTTAGAGATGAGTTTTGAAATCATTATTCGGTGAACCGTAAAGGACTAACAAAGGCGTAACAAAAAAAGATTTGAAAAAATTCACTCAGTATTATAGGTGCGAATTGTTCGAAATAAAATAACAAATCATGAACACGATCGAAAACGAATTATCCGACAAATGTTACCTGCGCAAGCTCACAGATGTCACAACGTGCGTATATTTATATCGCCGTTCGAAAAAATATGAAATTTATAAGTATACAGAACATTGTAATAATCTGGAAAATGTACAATAAAGACAGTGTAAATGCCTCGTATGAGGCCTAAACACTTTAATATAAAAAAAAAAAATATATGAAATTTATTTTCATTCGACGGCAAAGTGTACAGCTCAAGCGGACGATTTCAAATTCATTTTTTGCTCGCCCTCAACAATGGGCATGAACTTTAAACTTTAGATTATCGCTCAAGAAAGAAAAAGTGAAAGACTCGGGAATAAAGTGCGCTTGCAAGGGAGAGAGAGAGAGAGAGAAGGAGAAAACAAGCACACCTGGACCTGCAGAAAGCGAGTGAGCGAGTACCAAGCTCAAGGGCGCGACAAGGGTCCTCTGGCCTCGCTCTTCAGAGAGGCAGCAGCAGTAGCGCCCGCTACAGCAGCGCAAGCTCCAGCAGCAGCAGCAGCAGCAGCAGTTCAACGGATCGTAGATTTCGCCCTCCTTTTTTTTTTATCCATTTGGCTTTTGTCTTGCGCGCTTAGGTTTTCTCGCACTTCTCTCGTTTCCTCTCTCTCTGTCTCTCAAGATCATGCAACCAATAGTCACAATGTACTTCTCTTTTTGTCTCTCTCTCTGTGACTGCTCGAGCTATATAGCAATCGTATAGTAGTAATAGAAGTGGCAGCTAGAGCGCCTCGGCTCCACGATTGTCAGCTTACGACGAGTGTGCTTATTTGATGCTTGGAATTAATCGATCGACGCTTGTGTATATATACCGAACTGTGTTTAGCGATCGGACGACGCGACAACACACACACACACTCACTCATCAAAAGTTACCTCGTTTTTTTCTTTTTTTACTCTTCTCTTTCGTCGAGTCGTCGAGATGATCCGCGCACCGAGAAGAGCAGTCGAGGTCGAGCGGATATATATCACGACAAATCCTTGAACGATACGTAGCCGCAACCTCGTTAAGACTCGATTGTATGTAAACCCGAGCAACAATCTTGGCGCATTGAAATAATCGCTCGATATCCTTCAATCAACCACCTCGTTTGTTTCGCATTTGCATCAACCATTGATACTTATAAATGTCGAGCTCCCGCGCACAATCAGCCAAATCAAGCGTCCAAGTAGCAAATCGTACACATGCGGTGAGAAATGCCAATCGAGTGCAATTCATACATAACAGTATATAGTTGGCTATAGCCGGCCGGAAAAACGTGCGACAAGCGTGCGTATAGGCTCGAAATCTGCATGCCTGGAGCTTTCGACGTGGCACACGTACATTATACGCTGTACGCACGCACTCCTTCGCAGCAAGGGGTAGATGCTTATCGCGGGCCGAGCTGCCCTAAAAGCTCTCAACGCAGTTCTCGGGCTCGCGGCGATCGCCCAACGAGTCGACCGAGATAACGGCTGTAGCAAGTACTACCGCGTCGACCCTTGCGCGACGTACTACGCATACATATACGTTGTGTATAATGCGTATACTGCATCGAGAATTCAATGAGGCGAAACCGCATTTACTTAAATATTTCATACACTCCTTATCGCCGATCGCATTATACTTTATAACGCATAAACGAAGTACGCTACGTATCCGAGAGTATATTATACGTTCGACGAGTGTGCGTACACGTGAACGCGAGAACTCTCGCGCAGTCAAATGCTGTGACCACTCGAATATACGCGCGTAATACGCGTTTAAGCCGGCAATTCACATGTCAAAGTACGTAATGAAACGTATCGGTGTTTACGTTTGTTTATTTTCATAGGCCGGGCGCGTCTTGAAACTAATTTTCTTCATTGTAACCGACTCGCGCTGACCCCCTCCCTATGTTTGTACATTACAATGTTATACACGCGCTCTCTGCTACGTATATACACCTCGTAAGCATCGTTGATTATCGTCGAGATGATTCTTTAGCTTCATAAACGCCGAACGCGAAACTCGATTAATCGATCGATCTTATGTAGCACCGAATCGCGCGTAATTAAAATCGCACGTATCGTTTAAAAAATCTGCCACTCGAGAGAGCTTTCGGGCACTCGACAATTTGTGCGCGCTCGAACATTTATATATGACGTAAAACGAGCGCGTATCCTTTGCATTTTTTTCTTTCTTTCTCGAGCGTATTTCAAATTACCGATGGACATGCACGTATATCCTTGCCGTCGTCTTTGTTCGCGAAATTGCCCGAATATTATACTATTGTGCGTTGCTGCAACGCGAGGCTTGAGACAAAACGAGATGGATGAAAAAAAAAAAAAAATTATACCGATCGCTAAGGCGGCTTTTTTTTCTTTTATACGTAAGGTATGCGGGTTATCGGAAGTACATGCTCAAGTAAGCTACCGTGCCTCGATATGTATATAGCTGCAACCTTTTGTGCAGCGTAGAAAGACAGTACACGAAAAAATTGAGCTTCTTTATGACATGCGGGATCAGCCTTTTCTTCGACACTATATTGCGAGCAATTTTCTCGTATATCGAGAACATCGAGTAAAATCTATTATGAAAAATGTACGATATTTATTATAATCGTGGTATCTGAAAAATGAGCCTCTCAAGCGTAAATATATTTCACGACTATATAAAAACGCTACGATCGGCTACGCAATTAGTGGGTCGCCGTAACGTGTGTAACTCCACGGCGCAAATCGCTGAGCAAGAGTTACGTGTATATATAGCGCGCTCGAACATTAGCCGAATTCGATGCATGCGGCGATCGTGGCGAGTGTGCCGCGTGTGCAAATAATTGTGCGTGCGCATTATAGGCCGACAACAAGCCAACAGTCAACCGCTCGAGAGTTGATCGAACGTATCGGTATGTCTTGGACGTATTACGAAAGGACTATTGTAATAAATAATGCGTGGCTCGTGCATTTTTCGGCTTTTTGCTAACGCTCGGGCTTTTGCGTGCGTCGGGCTCTCGAATCGCTGCTCCTCGGCTCGCAGTAGTTTTTGCGATATCGCGGCGTGCACAACGACCAAAAAAAAAAAAAGAGCAGAGGGTCTGGTATCGTTTCGTACACGATACGTTTCTCGAGTCCTTGTGCTCATGAGTTAGTTTGTTTACTATCTATTTTCACTTAAGAAACATGGTGAGTAGATCGTTCTGATCCTTTTCTTCTATACCCAAAGTGAAATTTTGTTTGTTAAAGAATTATTATTTTTATATCGCAGGATTCAAAAGTCAAATCGACCGATCGATATCACGCGAACATTCAATATGGTAAATTTTCACAATTTAGCAAATACTTATAAAAAGTGTCGTGTATTTTAGTTATAATTAACTTGTAAATTATTTATTCAGCCCCAGCATCAAATAAAACAGGCGCATCGAGTAGAGGGACAAAAAGCTCGAGCCCTACGAACCAAAGTTTTCTTTATAAAAAAGTTCTTTTAGTAGTAGTATTATTTTTATTCATGGTCTTACTTCTATTCACCTGCACTGGCTTATTATACTTGCAAACTTCCGAAGGTATATCAAATCTGCGCCATTATGACAACGTTTTTAAAGCTTTTTTAAACAAATTAATACTTTTGATTATTCGCACAGCTCAATTCTGGCATAAACAGCTGAAAGTATTGAAATACTTTAATTACGGAACCGGAGATATCGAGCCACCGGACTATAAGATGTATCAGGGAAAATCTGAAGTGTTCACAGATAATAAAGACGCAGGTCCTGAAAAATATTCGTTTGCATTCATGCCGACCGAGAAGCCGAATGTACAACTTCTACGTAATATGCGTGTGAAGCGCCAGAAACGCCAAGTCGATACAGGTAACTTCGATTGCGCTGCCAGGAAGGACGAATGTCAGCTGATTTTACAAGGTACGAATTACGAGAAAAATGATAATCAATAACGAACTGTTTCATAAAATTCAACGATACTGCTTAGGTTTTAACGACATGACGAAGGACGCGCTGGAGAAAATCAAGCACTTGCAGAAGACCCTGGTGCAGCACAACTTCGTGACGGAAAACGACCCGAAGAATCTGATGTTTCGCCGGGTGATGGACTGCCTGCGCTGTCGCAACGCCCAGGCGCAGGACAGCAACGTCTATCCGGAGGCAGCACACGCGCAAGCGGCGGGCGTCGGCCGACAACTCGACGACGGCAATTCCGACATGGTGCCCGAGCTCGAGTACATGAGGCCGTTCCTGGAGAACATGCCGTACGCGGACATCAACGACAACGTGATCGACGGCCAGAACAATCGCCACTACGACGAGGACGCCGAGCGCGTCGCCAAGGCACCCGTGGTCGGCGCCAAGCAGGTGATCGAGACGGTGCGCAACAGCACCACCACCATCGACGGCAGGAAGGTCTGGAACATCGTGAAAAATACAACTGTCGTCGAGGACGACGCCAACCGTAAGTTCTGTTTTTGTTTTTTTTTTTTTTTTTTATTTCGCGACCCTCGGATCTTATCGTGATTTTCTCGAATTTGCAGAAGAAACGACCATGAAACCCGCCACGGCATTTCGCTCAGGTACGAATAATACGTATAATGTATATTTTTCTCGCTCTGGTGCGAACTTGAATTTTCTCATATTCACGATTGCGATTCTCTCTCGTATCGTGTGCACGCGCGATAAAGGCGGCCGAGGCGACGAGTCTCACGTGACGCGCAACATCGACCAGACGCCGATCATACTGCCGACCGCCGAGACAATGAAGACGAGCCAGCAGATCCAGTTCACGCCGCAGAGTAGCTGGCCTAGCATTCCCATGTGCTTCTACGTGCCCCCGTCCGCGGCGAATTCCTATCCGTTCAAGCCAGCCTCGGGCAACGGCGGTGGTGCCGGTCCTGGCGGCAACGCCAACAACAATCCCGGATCTCCCTTCTTCTCTCCGTACAACGTGCCGCAACAAGGTAATTTAATGCTCTGTCGTGCTATTTTATACGCGTCCTTCCACGCGCTGCCACCCGCTGCGATGCGAGGGTGACGGCAAACGTCTCACATACGATACGGAAGGATAGTTCAGCCGACGCTGTTCTTGAAATATTTCAAATTCGTCGCTCTCTTTCTCGCGCACGATAGTTTATCAACGTTATTCGTCATTTTCAATTCTACGTTATCGCAGGTTTACCCAATCAGCAGAAATTCTTCCCGATGGGCAATCAGCCGGGCTACCCTCCGATGCATCCCATGCAGATGCAAATGCAAATACCGATGGCGATGCCCATGCCGATGCCCATGGCCATGTCCATGATGGGATCGCCGATGATGGGCTTCCCACCGATGCAGCCGCCGAACATGCCCTATTATTGCACCTACATGCCGATGCCGCCGAATATCCAGCAGCCGCAGCCACAGTTGCAGCCACAACCACAGCCACAGCCACAGCCTCAGCCGCCTCAATTTCCGCCCAACTATTTTCCTTACATGCAGCCACCGCCCAACATGAACGACTATCCGTACAATTTCATGGCCAAATCGGCGGACGGCAACGTGATGTCGACGACCGAGTTGCCCGACGCCAATAGAGTTGCAGCAGCGCAGAGAAATAACCAATTCGACACGCCCGATGATAAACAATGGCCCGACGGTAAAATTTAAAAAATTTCAAGGCCTAAAGTGGAGTTTTTCTATATTTTACTAAAAGTAGTCATTTTAAGATTCAATTTTTTTCTTAATATTTTTCAAATTAGTTTTTTTTAATCTGCGTAAAATTACTTAAAAATTTGCCCAAAAAAATGATTATAATAATGTAGTCAATTTAAAGAAAAATTTTGATTTTTGTGGAAAAAAAAAGTTTCGATAAAGTACCTTGAGATTTAGGCTTGGCAAAAAAAAATTGCACACAATCGATGGATCAACAAGTACAAGAACGCCTGCTCCAATCGACAGAGTGCGACGGCTTCACGTGTCCGCCGCCCTACGCCCAGTGCATCTCCCACGAACAGCGCTGCGACGGCCGGGTCGACTGCTTCGGCGCCGAGGACGAGCTCGACTGCCAGCCGGACCTGTACTACGCCCGCGCCGCCAAGGCCTTCCCCAACTGGTATCAGCTGAGCGAGCAGCAGCGCCAGGTCGCGGCGGCCACCCACACGGCCACCATCCAGGCGATCAACGAGCAAGCCACCAAGTTCTACGAGCAGTGGAGAAATCAGATGTCCGCGAATCAGTACGCACAGGGCTGGACGCTGCCTTTCGATCAATCGGCCGGCCAGGGGGCGATCGCCAACCAGCCGCTGCAGCAGCAGCCTGGCCAGGTCGACGGATCTCCGCCACTGACGACTCCGGTACCGGTGCAGCTCGCCACGATGTCCATCAACGAACCCACGTCCGCGATTTACGTGTCGCCGACTCAAGACTTCTCGACGACGAGGCTCGTGTCACCGGTGCCGTCGGCGGCGCCGCCGACCACCGCCAAGTACGACGAGTCCGAGCAGACGACCTATCCGATCTCCTTGCAAGAAACGCCCCAGCTGTTCCATTGCAAAAGGTAACAAGTCACGCGTGTGCGAGCTTCGCATTTTTATTTGCGTACCTGAACGATCGCACGCTTTTACGCATTCTGTGGCACGTCTCGATTATCAAACGGACTTTTTGCGCCGATTGAAAAACGAGCGTGGGTCCGAGCTTTTTCGAATGCTCCCCCTCGCGCATGCTGCGGTCGATACAGGTGTCGCCTTACCCCCCGATCGTACGTGTCATACGATTCGAAAATTCCTTATCGTCGTTGTTTGCGCAGAATCACGCAGACGATTCCGCTGGAGAAGCGATGCGACAACGAGTACGACTGCGAGGACATTTCCGACGAGCAGAACTGCACCTGCAAGGAGTATCTGAGAAACACGAATCCCTCGGCTATTTGCGACGGCCACGTCGACTGTCACGATGGAACGGACGAGGAGAATTGCGGTACGAAACGAATAAAGTTTCTTTTCCTTGTAATTCAAAATGCACAACGAGTTTATTGTCGAAATTTCGTTTCGTCGTACAGGAATTTGCAAGGACGACGAGTATCACTGTCACAGGAGTGGAAGCTGCATACCGGCCTATCGCAAGTGCGATCAAATCATGGACTGCAAGCTCAACGAGGACGAGTTGGACTGCTGTGAGCTGCCAATTTTTTTCTTCTTCTCTAATAAGACTATCGATGTCTGTATTTCACGTCTACACTTGTGTGTTATAGTCACGCTGACCGATGGAAATCACGTGAACTTGGACATGGACAAGAGGCCGCACTTGAACATGGAAGGCGTCGTCACGAGCTACGGTAACGGAGAGTGGCAGCCGACGTGCTTCCGCCAGCAGTTCCTCGGCAACGACAAGCGCCGCGAGGCCGGCGAGAAATTCTGCGAGTATCTCGGCTTCAAGTGAGTAATCCAACAAACCGTTTTCTCCATTGTTTGGCTCGAGATACGGATATAACGAATAATTGTTTTTGTGAACAGGAGCGTCGAGGAGACCCTGGAGACGACGGTGCGCAAGGCGCCGCTGCAGCTCAGGCAGTCCGGCAAGAACGCCACGCTGGGCTACGAGTACCCGCCGAGGCTGCACGCGATCCAGAAGCGCGACACCAACGACACGTGCACGGGCCTGCAGATACGCTGCAAGCCGATCCTCGACAAGAAGCTCACCGTCCATCTGAAAATCAATCAGCGCACCGGCGAGCGAACCTTCCTCTGGCCCTGGGAGGCCTTGATATTCGTCGAGGGCAGGTACGCCTGCTCGGCCGTCATCCTCGACGAGCACTGGATACTCGCCAACACGGCCTGCCACGAGGGACTCGAGTGAGTTACGCGATTCACTCGTATATTATAATGTCAAGTTTTCACTTACCTCTAAACTCTCTCTCTCTCTCTTACTATAATGTACTCAGCGTGAATCAAAATTACACGACCGCCGTCATGGGCTCGTCCTCGCCGAGCTTGCTCATGAGCAGTCCGTATCAGCAGGTGACCAGGATCATAGAAACGAGACCGGTGGAAAAATCCGACGCGATCCTGCTTCGCTTGGAGAACAAAGTCAATATGACGAGATACGTGCAGCCGCTCTATCTCGAAAAAAGGTATAAACTTTTTTTTCTGTCCAACTCGACTCGGGGAAGAGCTTGCGATTAACGAATTGTCCGATGAATTTTTAACAGAATATTCCCCGCCGCACTGAACGACACATGCGTCGCCATCGGCGTGAACGCCAAGAAAGAGAGAAAAATCCAATTTTTAGAAACGGTCGCCGATAACTGTCCCAAATGTCAGCGCTGCTACATCGAGAAAAAGACATCATCCAACTGCGACGTAAGCGCTCGTCGATTCTTTTTTGTCTCTCCATCACTTTCGTTGTCTCACTCTCTCTCTCGTGAAATATTTAGCAACAAAACCAGAGCAACGCGACGCAGGCGTGGAACGGCAACGTCGTCTGCCAGAGCGGCAAAGGTGGCTGGTATCCAGCCGCTGTTTTTCGGGACATGGACGAGAACTGCGGCTTCTCGGGCAAACAAATTCTCAACAGCATAGACTACGTGCACGCTCACCTTTCGGAAGCCATAGGTTGACCCATAGGGCATTATTTTTTTTTTTGTTTGCCACATATTATATATTTTTTGAGTCTCATTAACCAATGCTGCTTCACAGACGACACTGCCAAACCCACCAAGAAGTTCCAGTGCGAGGGCTTGAGATGTAATTTCGGCAAGTGTCTGCCGTTCGCGAGCATCTGCGACGGTATTCGCGACTGTCCCGACGGCGCCGACGAGGAGCCCAACCGCTGCAAACAGCTCAGGCGCGACTGCGGCACCGGCTACAAACAGAAGGAGTGCAGTGAGTCTCCGCGTTTCTCGATCGACCCGGCCCGGCCGATGTTCCCCCCCCCCCCCCTGCAACGATATCATCTTCTTTTCTTTTCTCGTTAAAGAGTGCGACAAGTCCGAGATGACCTGCGGCAACGGCTCGTGCGTACCCAAGGAGAAGTTCTGCGACGGCGTGAAGGATTGCGCGGACGGCACGGACGAGCCGCGCAACTGCACCTGCGCCGAGTACCTGAAGGTCACCGAGCCCAAGCGTCTGTGCGACGGACGCCGCCACTGCCTGGACAAGACCGACGAGAGCCCCGCGCTCTGCCGCTGCAAGGACTCGAGCTTCAAGTGCAGCAGGTGGGCGACTCCCTCGATCATAATTCTCGATTCAACTCGTGCTCAAATGATATAATTGTAATATTCGTCCTTGAACGATGTTCGCAGGAGTATTCTCAACGGAGGAATCCCGTGCGTACCGCAGGATTTCGTTTGCGACGGAGAACGCGACTGTCCGCAAGGCGAGGACGAGCGTGACGAGATGTGCTACGTTATCAAACGCGAAAGAAACGATCCGTGAGTGTCTCTCCGTTCATTTATCGTATATCGTTATACTCGATCGGTCGATCTAACGAATCATCTTCTCGCTTAATTTCGACAGACCGGGAACGGGCGAGGTTCTGCGCTACACGTACGGCGTGAAGCACACCGAGTGCCTGGCCGAGCCCGTACAGAGCCAGCAGAACGTCACCCAGGTCTGCAAGAGGATGGGCTACACGTCCGGCATCCAGACGGAGTCCTACAAGCCGACGGAGTCGCAGTACGTGCCGCGCAACGACTACTACATGTTCACCCTGAATCCGCACGCGTACGTGGTGATGCGCGACGACAGGTCACTCGGCGTCTGGAAGAAGCCCGAGACACCCTGCTACAGGCTATTCGTTCATTGCTTGTAACCGTGTCGCCGCGGCGATCGCTCGTATGTAATTGTCACCGCCGCCAGGATATAATATAGGTTTTAACGAGTCATCCGTTTCATATCACTCCGATCGATTGTTTAGATAGTATAAGGCTTGTATCATATGTTTATTCGTACTCGATGCGTTCATCATCGATAATAAAAATATTACTTTTTATGAATCGCTACTACTTATTTACTGTGTGACCCGTGATTTTGTATCAAAATTGAAATGTTTATAATTTTATGAAAAAAAAACAATTGAACCTTAACGTAAACATTGGCAGCACAAACTGTGCCTCTTGAAAATCTCTTAACCTAATTGAAAATAAGCGATGGATACAAATCTTTAATGGCTTTCCGAATAAGTTAATACCTTTTTAATTGTTCATCCAGCATACCTTCGATCCATAAGTAAGACGTTGATTTATTTACTCATTGCGATTATTTCATACGGAGAACAGAATGGCTGGGTGTCAGGCACTTGCAAGTCTTCTACTTGTTCTGGAGCGTCGCGTTCATGTACGGGATGCGAGTGTGCATGTCCGTGGCGATAGTGGCCATGAGCGACAAGAGCAGCGCCAATCCCAATTTCCACGTAAGTACGTAACACAACGTTCGGCGGATGGCGTATATAATATCCAGAGCGAGACAAGGAGCCGAATTTTTCAGTCGTTGAACGATACGAACGCAGGATTTCGACTGGGACTCGAGCGTGAACTTTCGCATACTGAGCTCGTTCTTCTGGGGCTACGCGATCACCCAAGTACCCGGCGCCTATCTGGCCGACTTCATGCGCAGTCCGCACAGGTGTCTGGCGCTGGGCCTGCTGCTGAGCGGCGTCTGCACCGCGCTCGTGCACGCACTGGCCGTGAACTACGGCTGGAAGTTCGTGGTGGCGCTGCGTTTCTTCACGGGCCTCGGCCAGGGCGTCGTCTTTCCCTGCGTGCAGATGCTCCTGTCCAAGTGGGCGCCGCCCGGTGAACGCGCCAGACTAGGTTAATATACGATTACCTTTTTTTCCCGCCGGAGCTCGGCAAAATTTTTCACGAAACGAACGTCGCGGGGGCGCGCGCAGGATCGGTGGTGCTGAACTCGACGCAATTCGGCAGCGTCGTGACGATGGCGCTGTCGGGCCTCCTGTCGAAATCCGTCCTGGGCTGGCCGAGCATCTTCTACTTTTTCGGCACTTGCGGACTCGTCTGGAGCCTGTGCTACGTCTATCTCGGCGACGACTCGCCCGCCGTCAGTCCCAGGATCAGCGCGGCCGAGCGCGAGTACATCGAGACGAGCTTGGGCGGGCCCGTTTACGACGGAGTCACGGTAACCATCATGCGATCTCGACATCGATCGTCGCGAACCGATTCGATGCGAATAACCAAAAAGCCATTCGTGTGAAATTTTGCAATTCTGAAGCATCCGAGAATACCGTGGAAGCGCATATTCACGTCGATGCCGGTCTGGTCCCTGATAATCGTTCACGGCGGCAACAATTGGGGCTACTACCTGCTGCTCACCGGACTGCCCACCTACATGAAGAACATCCTCGGCTTCGACGTCCAGAGCAGCGGAATGATCTCGGCCCTGCCCTACCTCGTAGCCTGGCTCGTTGGCTTTCCCATAAGCTGGCTGTGCGACTGGGCGCTGCGTCGGGGCTTCTGCTCGACCGAGGCCGCGCGCAAGCTCGCCAACAGCGTGGGCATGATGTCGCCGGCCCTGGGCATGATCGCCCTGAGTCAGCTGCACACGCAGAATCGCTACGCGCTGGTGCTCGTGCTCGTGCTGTCGATCGGCCTGACGGCGGGCACGACCTGCGGCTTTCTCATCAACTACATGGACCTGACGCCCCAGTTCGCCGGCGCCATCATGTCGGTGACCAACGTCACGGGCACTCTGATGGGCATCGCCTCGCCGCTGGCCTGCGGTTACATAATCACCGACTTGGTACGTATAGGTACACGCGCGCAGCGAAACGATAATTTTTTTTTTAAAGGAGATTAAACGACGCAAGCGTTGAATTTCGTTGCAGAAAAACGCGCATCAGTGGCACGTGGTGTTTTACCTGACGGCCGGGATCTACGCCGCGTCGAATCTGTTCTTCGTGATCTTCGGCAAGGCCACGATACAGCCGTGGAATCATATCAACGTGCCGTCGCAGCAGACGGTGTCTCGTAAATAAATCGTCGCCTCGAGCATCGAGCCGAAATTTTTCATCAAGAGTCACCATTTTTTCATCGCGTTTGCATCGGGGAAGGGGCCTAAATTCGAGAGCACCGAGAGCGAGGGAGAGGACAGAAGCGCGCGAGAGGAGCATATTGCAATTTTCAGCGGACCGACTATTCGCCTGCGGGATTTTCACGTGGACGTTGTGGCATTTTTAAAAAATAATAATAATACCTAAATATATGCGGGCCGAGACAGCCGATGACGATTATAGCAGGCAGAATAATGGAAGCGAATTTCGGAGCGACGTTGCAGCGCAATGATCGCGCACACATTTGGCGCGCACACGTACGCGCGTAGAGTAGGTAGAATATGTAGAAGTATACGAAATAAAAGGAAGAAAGAGCCGTGTGGCTGGGTGTACACGATCGTATACGCGTACGTGTGTGCGTACGTGCATGTATACATACATGTATATACATATGCGGGGGGAAGAGGTGAACAAGGAGGTCGTATATATACCCATAGTGCACGTATGTATAGGCACATAGTGCGCTGCCACCGCTGCCGCTGCTGCTGCTATTGTTTTCTCGAGTGGCACTCGCGTTGTTCAATGCTCTGCAGTTTGCGCGCTAGGCACCGTACATGCACACACACACACACACATGCAACGCATATATCGCAACCTATACGTATACGAGCGTGTGTAGCTTTCGCTCTGGCGCGCGCTGGACCGACCTATAAGCCACGACGCGCAGATGGGCATCCCGAAACCCAATGTTGTTTCCAACTACGCGCGCGTAGCCCGTTTTTTTCTCTTTTTTTCTTTTATTTATTTTTTTTTTTTTACTCACTTCGTGAACGCAGCGCAGCAGCGTCATGGTATCGACGATTTTTTATTCGGCCACCCGATGATCCGAGCGGCAATTTTTATTCTCTCTTTCCCTCGCTTTCACGCTCTTCATCGAACGGGTCCAATCGTATATATATGAATTTCGGAGCGACGTTTATCCAGTTAGGCAACTGCGCGTACATACACATACGCGTTTGTAACGAAATCCTATTCCGCCATCGCGGGCAAAGGTCATCGGCGCGCCAATAGCATGTACATTGTATTTTTTACTTTCCTGCGTTGCTCCTCTCTCGTCCACCCCGCCAGTGCGAGTATGGATACATACCCACCGGCATTTTCACGAAAGCTTTAGCATTTCCGAAATCAACTTTGTACTCGACTTTTCGCCTCTCTCTCTCTCTCTTCTCGTCTCTCTGCATATTTTTTCTCTCTCTTTCTCTCTTGATACAAGCTTGAAGCCCCCCTGCATTTGTACTCCAACACAAAGAGCCAAAGAGCCTTTTCTTATCCCATCGAGTTGGCGGTGGCGGCGGCGGCGGCGACGGCAGCAGTCTCGACCTTTCCCACCCGCACGCGGAAATCCATCTCCTCTCTTTCTTTCCTCGTTCTTTAGCCAGTTCAACACACATATATACACGTGTATACGAGTGTAGAGCAGGGATAACGAATGCAGAATGATATATATATACAGACATACATACATATATACGAATACAACTCTTGACAATCGTCAAACGACTTTCCGACGGGAAAGAAAGAAAGAATGGCGGCTTAACGAGGCAGAGGGCAAACAGCCAACCGGTCAATTAAGACTAGAGACGACTCGCACACACACACGTACACCCGCCCACGCGAATATAACAAACCTTTGAATGGTACACAGTACGCGGTATATCGCCTGTATATATGTGTGTATGGTTGTGTGCACTGCGCTAAACTTCTGACTCGCGTCTATCTCTCCCTATATACGTGCAAATACTATACACATATTTATTGTTGAGAGAGAGAGAGAGAGAGAAAGAGAGAGGAGGCGCACGACGGCGCGTGCCGTGCCACAAAACGTCATATTATTTGAGTAGCTCACGGCTTCGTGACTGGCGTATGTGTGTGTGTACCTACGTAGACGTATGCATGTATAGTTCGAGCGCAACGCAAGTCTAATAAGTTCTACACGAGCTCGTACACGCGCTAATATTCTCCTGCATCAATTGACGCGCATGTAAATTCGTAATATGACTTTGTACGCATATATGCGTATACAAACTCCGCAATAAAATCGTTCGAGCGAGCGATTCGAGGAAAGATTCGTTTTATTAATTGCTCCCTCGCAAGCTCGATTCTCCAATATGCAACTGCGATGGTTTGAGTCTGTACATCAATTAAATTACAATAAGCTACAGATATCATAAGTGTACATTTTATTTCTCTCTATCCCTGAAAATTGATTCAAACTTCGTGTACTTTGGATCTCGTCGTCGAAGGAAATATATCTTAATATTATGATGAGATAGTGCAGCGCAATAATAGACAAGCCTCGTATGTAAGGAAGCGTCCCGCAGCTTCCAACCAAACAGGATAAATGACTCCTCTCTGGCCTGTAAGCCCGGAGAAAAAAAAATTGTGAATATTAAATAGTTCGTGTGGTATAGACTCTAGACGTATGTTTTAATTTTTTAACAATTTCTCAATTCTTAATCAATTATTCAATCGTTCCGATTGTTTTTACTTTTCAAAAAGATCATTTGGAAACATGTACATTAATCGAAGACGATTAAGCGGCTCTTCGAACGCGCCACGCATAATACGGGCACTCGTGTATACAATTCAGATAGATTCCCCGGCGTGCTGCTGCCTATACATATAATAATAGTACACAACATGCCTTGGGCGCGTCGATTCAGCAATTATACCTCGTGTGTGTGTGTGTGTACGGCGGCAACGATCATTGCGGCACGACAATGTATGTGACACGCACGTATATATACGTACGCATGTTATTGTACGCATACACGCGTGCGCCTCGACTCGAGCCGCTCGCTGCAATCGTCCAAAAACGGGGGTGACGATGCAGCGACTCTATATAGCTATAGCCGCGCGACGAGCCAAAATCTGCAACCCGTTCTTCGGGCCTATATATATATGTACGACAGATCATCCCTCGTTATTATTACGCAGCCCGCGCGTTTATCATAACAATAACTTATAGCGACGACGACGACGACGACGACGTCTATTTGTGTACCGCTTAATACCTGTCATGCTTCGATATACACGTTAGAGACGAGCGAGCGCGTGCCGTATTTTGTGAGTAGTATACATCGACTGTTGCCGATATTGTACTATGATCATTATTATTATATCCATAACTGCTATTATAATCGCGCGCCAGCCTCGGCGTTAGGATCAAAATTCGTACCTGCTTGCGTTAATTGCTTTTTACGAAACAAAGCGGAGACAGAACGTCGACGTCGATCCTTGTTATAATCCGTGACGTTGCATTTGATTCATCCGAAGGCCCGTTTTACGTTTGAAAAATTCACGAGTATCTTATTTTCGAGTCCGCGAGCGCAGTTAACCATATGCCAATTTCACACCATGTGCTCGGCACGCGCGTCGATATGAATCGTATAATTAGTGTCGATATTAGTCAACGAAATAGAGCAATAGAATGCCGAAAGCACGAGGCATCGCGAGGATTTTGATCTCCAAATTTTGGCATTATGATTTTAAACCTGATCCTCGGAAGCATATAACCATTTTTTATCAAAAATTTAATAAGCTGCAAAGCATCATCGTTAAATCGGTGCATCTCGAAACTCTGAAACCGTTGCAGCAAACCTCAAGAATAATAAAAGTTAATTCTCCAATGAAGCGAATTTTTCGTCTGGTTGTCCTTGTACATATAGGTATATATCTATTGTCATTTTCCCAGCCCGTACACACGACGAGAGGCGGCCGCAGATAAAATCAATACAATATACGACGAGCTGTGCCGCTGCCTCTGCTGATGCTGCTGCTGCCGGCTCGGCTGAGCGAGTCGCGCTCACGATTGGAAAATTCTGCGTCCGTATATAACGCACATCGGCGCGCACGGAAGAGAGAAATCAATTTTCGGAAATAGCCGCACACGCAATTTCATTTGCGGAACTCGTACATATATATGAGACTGCGTGTGTGCGTGTGAGTGTATGTGCACTACGCAATCCCACACACACGATATCAGCAGAAATAAAAGGGATATATATATATATATATATAATGTAATGGAAAAAGAGCGAACGCGACCCACATCGCAAGTAGCTGGTACAAGTCGCTCGAGTGTGTTTGCACTGCTGACACGGCGCGATTCTTGTCTTGCCAATAAAATGTGTGTGTGTACTTTTTATTTATTATGCTGCTGCTGATTTTTTTTCTTCGTCCTCGTTCTCGGTTGATTCAAATATAATCGAAATCGCCTCGTAAATGTCCAATTTTTTCATTTGACTTTTGTTAAATAATGATCGAGAAACGGTTGCTTGGGTTGAAATGCACAAATATACGATTTAAATTCCAACGAGCTGGTGCGTACAACCTCTCTATGCCCCAGAAAGGGACCCAAAGAGCTAAATGCAAATCACTGTTTGCGTTATGTTATTCCTCGAAACATCGGAGTTTTTGAATATAATATTCACACTTTGGAGCATCGTTCAGGGAAGCTGCTGGCTTTAAAGCACTTTCACAGAAGCAATACGCGCGCAAATGGCGTGAAAGAAGAAGCTACGAATGCAATCGTGATTTGTATTCATCTATTAGCGTTGTATAAACTCGTCTTAAGTCTCGACTCGTTGTTACACGGCTCGTGTATTATGCGTATACGCGACGAATCAATAAAGTAAGCATTTTCGAGCTTTTTTATTTTTACTCTCGTGTGTGTCCCAACAAAAGGCGTTGAGTTTGTTTGCCTTGTACCTTACTTATATCGCGCTTCTGCACCTTAACAATATTGACTTACACGCGTACCCCCAGCTGCACTCGTATACGCGTGTGTAGCGCACATAACGTACAAATGCACGTGTGTGTAATATTATGCGCAACGAAAAGAAAAATAGAAAAAAAAACTCGCGACGGAAAAGATACGAGCGCTTAACTACGCTGCACGTTCGAAAATAACTTCTTGCGGGCAAGAAAAGTCTGAAAAATTCTTGAATAGAAGTTTCTTGAAAGGTTGACGAGCTTATTTTCTAGTTCACAGTTTCGTACTCTCGGTATGTGGCCAAAATCTATCACTGCTTACAAACAAATCGAAAATTACGCACGGCTTTCTGCATAAGCAGCGAGTGAGATTTACTATAAATTACTTATGGTTCTCATTTGAGCCCTAATACTATGATGTTTTTATAAGTTATATGGATCCTTGTTTAAAATTGTCATGCAAAGACGTAATATTCGTGGATTAACGCTATAGAGATTGAAACTCTAAATAATTTCAAAAGAAATCTAAAGCTAAAGCGATATTGTACAAGTTTACCATATACTTGAACAGCATAATAAAAATTGCTGCAGTAGTCTTCATTTTAGAATGGAATCTACAACTTATCAAATATATTTCATGCTTATAATTTGATAGATATGTCATACCCTGCAAATAAAGTTTCAAACTCTTTAATCGAATCGTTATACAAAAGTCGAAAATATTACAAGGGATCTGAATTTTCGAAATTTTTTGGCAGCAATGAATGAATTCTTCAATTTTTCAGATACACACCTTTATCGAATGTATTCAACAGCAAGGTGCAATGGAAAAATGGCATATTCAAGACTGCGTACCAAAATCTGCAGTGCTCGCATACAGCACTGAACTACTGCTTCGAATTCAATTGGAATGAGGTACTTCTTACGGGCCGTTGACAGTAATGGAGACTCTTGGAGCTCTTTACTAGCTTTTTACTTTCTCTCTTCCTCGTTCTTTCTGGATAGGTATTTGCAAATGCCACCCATTGATCGGCGCATCAAAGTATACACATCCAAACTTCTTGCCATTCGAAAAATTACTTTTTCATTTGCACATGATATTATTGTGAAAAAAGGTCGATACGAGTCGCGAGCGTGTGTATGTGCGCGCGCGCGCTCGGCTCTCGAAAAATACATCATTAAACAAGGAGCGCGAGGAGAAAAAAAAAGCAGCCCAAGTTGCGTATTAAAAACATTACCGGAATAAAATTCTTCGAAAGTTTTTTTTCTCAAAAGGTTCTCCATGTTTACCTCTCAAAAAAATTCTCGACATTTATAATTTCCTTTTTTCTCTCTTCGTCTCTCGTAATATGCGCGTGCACACACGCATGCATATATTTTTTTTTTTTACCCTCTGCGCTGTATTATACATGCAGCTCGCGTGTTTCCTCTACCTCTCTCTCTCTCTCTGGTATAACTCTGGCGTCTGCCTCGCTCGGCTGGATTGGATTTTGCATCCCCGTGTGCAACGTGTGCGCCTCTAGGAATTGCACGTTCAGCTGAGCGTATGCATATTGCGGAGCTCTCGCTCGTGCTATACTGCACTGCGCGCTGCTGACGTCGTTGTCGTCGTCGTTGGGCATGTATAGAGCCAAGATTTGCCTCGCAAATAATAATAAGGCTGCACACGTAAAAAAGCGCGAATTATAATTCATGTTTAATTGCCCGCTTATGACTCAGCGGCTTCTTCATTTTTTTTCTGCGGCTTGGATGGTAAAAGTCATTAGATATATATTTTGAAGATGTATGTATTTATGCGAGGAAAGAAGGATTATAACAAGAAATCATTAGAATAGAATTTATGATTTTATAATGTTTTCATAAAACGTTTTATTAACAAAATAAATTTTTTCTTTCAATCGATTACGCCATATTTTGGAAAATCAATCTGCTTCAATTTTACCCGATTTACATAGATTGTTTCGTTTTATTTCATTCAAGTTTACTTTCAAGTTTCATTTAGAAAAATGACTTGTATCCGGAAATTTATGAGTATTTTTCTAAGTGAAGATATGTAATTTGGCCATACTTGAGTAGTGACAAAACAATCATTTTTACCAGGCATTGGCATTGCATTGGCAGACCATTTTCGTTAAAAAAACAAAAATTTTCCTGGCTCCATCATAGAATTGAAATGAACTCTCTTTTTTTCAATTCAAGTTTCATCGAAAGAGCAGGTATATTTGAATAATAAAGACACTTGTTTTAAATTTAACAAATAAAGTGTCAAATATAGTAGATTTTTTTCAGATTCAACAAAGTTTCGTCGTCGTAGGAGTTCTTTTCAAAAAGTGAAATTCAGCTTTGTTTGTGTTCAAATATACCGTGCCTAAACAATCAGTTTGTGATTTATTTTTATTGCGAGACCATGTCTATCGAAATAATTATTAAATAAAAATTTTCAATATTACGATCTGACTTATCAACAGTAAAAACTGTAAAAATATAAGAATTTGAGTAGAATGTCAGTGCACTTTTTTGACAATAACATTTAAAAAAAAAAATTGCCAGCAATTTGCAAACTGTCGCAATCGAGTCATTTATCTTTGAATCTCATCTCATAAATTTTTCATTCGTCAAATACCTCAAGCTCTCATCCTCGCCGTGAGTAGTTTTACAGGTACAAATTTATTTTGTATCAATTACCAGTGAGAAAAATTACGAAAATTAAAAAACTCACGCGCGTCGATAAGTTATTCGTTAGTTATATGCCTTAACTTCGAATCTACCTTAAGTTTGAACTTGTTGCTGAACGCGAATTTGTCAATTTCGAGATTGCGGTTGTGAAAAGCCTAAACGCATAGGCCACCAGTCCACGAGCGTACTTCGCGCTGGTAAGGTTTCGAATGCAAGAGAGATCCTCGACGCGCGGAAAGTTCGTTAATTCGTGCACTGCTCACGGCGATGCGATCGTCGTATCGTCAAAATCGGCCAGCTACACTGCTGTAGCCTGGGCTCTCGTCGCGTGGCCAGATTTATTTTTAAAACGGAGCCAAGTCCCCGTCGCGTGCTCCTCCCTGCTGCTGCTGCTGCTGGTCGGTGTGATCGCGTTGCCCTCTTTGCGCCTTCGAATACTGGACCGACTTGCCTGTTCTACGGTTGCTTTCCGGATATCTGTTCTTGAAGCATCGCTCCTTTTCGCAAGCTTGCAAGTATTCCAAGTGAGTAAAGTCCCCGAAACGCATTTGTTGCGATCTCTTTTGTATGGGCTGCGTTGACGGCGCATAATTGTCTACTCGATCCGCGTGAGTATTTATGCGCTGTTCCTCTGGAAAAACGACGTTGTCGTTCAGGTCCTTGCACTTTTTCCTTGGAGTAGCTTCTTGATCGGTAGACTCCTCGCCGGAGCTTCCGCTATTTCTAACAAAAAAACATCAACAGTCATGGGTAAATATAGACATGGAATAACGTTCAATAAAATTAATTAATCGGCGAAGAATACTCACGACATCGGAAAACTATCGTAACTGAAATTGCGCAAATCGGTCTGGGTCGGAGGCAGGTGGGCGCGGGACGCCAGCGGATCGTTGGAGCCGTAGGGCGCGGGTGCGGGCCAGAAAAGAGCGGCCAACCTCAACGGCGCGTCCACGTGATGATAGTTCAAGTTCCATTGGTCGATCATCGTGGCAGAGTTACCGGGAAACATCACCGCCTGGCCAGCGTACCATATGTCGCCGAAGGCGTATTCCGGTTGGCGGAAAGCCAGTTCGAGCGGCGCGATGTAGATCTGTTGTCCACCAGCGGTGGCTGGATTCCGAGGCCTCGTAGAATCCGGCAACCTATAGGTGGGCACGGCTTGGAACCACGTGCCCGGCGGCAACGACGACGACGACGACGACGCCACGTACGACGGATGGCTAGGGCCGTTCCATATCGGAATCGGAATTTGCGGTTTCGTCACTGTTTTCTTACCGTTCAGACGGTATTTGCGAATCCAGCCGCGTATAACGTTCACGGGTATGCGCAGTTTTTGGGCGATTTGCGAGTCGCGCCTACCTTCGTCGTAGAGCTTGAGCGCTTCGCATTGATTCTTGATCACCCGTTTGACGCGTACCCGTCTCTTTTTGTTTCTGGGTATCGTGCCAACTGGCAAAGACGTCGTCGTCGTCGTCTTCCAGGTGGTCGTCGGCTTGGCACGGCTTCGTTCTTGGTCCCAGGGCGACGGCAATGTCCTCTCCTCGCTGAAACTATCCCGGATCCACTTGGTGGGGAACGGGGGCGACACGGAGGGTGGCGGCAGGGAGACGGATCGCGCTCTGTTGTCCGAGTAGAGAGGACGATTCGCGCCGACGGTGAGGTTAAATTCTTCGTCGTTGTCACTTTTAACACGCTCCCTAAAGCGTGCGTCCGAGTGTCCACTGAAAAAAAGCAGAAAGTGTAAGATATTTACAAAATTATTTCATCTTGCGATGTAGCCGAAAAGATGATGCTGCGAAAATTCGCTTCAAAAACAAACGGAATTAAAAGCCACGAATATCACGTGTCTGTCTCGGTCGCGCGACTCGCTACGACCTGTTTACTCAACGAGAACAATAACATTTACTACGCACGATTCAATTTCCACCGATAATTTAAAAAAAAAATTTAATTAAAAAAAAAAATTAATTCAAGAATACGAACGGTGGTTCCATATCGGAACGCCTGCATCCCCACGTCGGCATCGCACGACGATCGCTTCTCTCTTCTTTAGGACGGTAACTTGACAAACTCTCTTGGTTCGATTGAGCTCTTCTTCCTGCTCGAATACAGACGCGACAAATTAATACAGTAAATGAATACCGTAAAAAATAGACGCGCGCCGCGTATTCGAGGTCAATGTGCCTCGAGTGCTTGACGAGCGAAAATTTAACTTTTTTTTCTCTTTCGGTTTATCGAGATTTTTCAAGTACTTATGATTTTATATATGACTCTGGTATCGTTCGAGTGACAGTTGATTCGGGTCTGATCGCTCCGGTGTTTGTATTAGCTTAGCGCGCTTTCGCTCTCCTCGCCTGCCCCTCCGGGGCGAGCTTTTACTTTTGTATGTAAACAATGTGCCGTGGCGCGTATACAGCGAAAAGTCACGATGGAAGCGGTGCGCCAATATGTATAATGAATTCCGAGGCTTGGATTGTTATTCGATCGAAATTTCTGGCACTCGAGGTACGATTTTAAAATTTTAACGTTGTATACATTCGCAATAAGGAAATAATGGATTCGTAGTCTCGTACAAATAATACAATCGTGCGTTACGTGAAATAATTCGCTCAGAGCCAAAGTACACGCGTACTTCTGGCGAGCGATATTGTTATGATGACGATGATGATCATCACCATTATTTCATCGCGCTTCGGACTCGGGATAAAATTTAGTTTTATCTTCAAAATTTACTCTGTAGAAATTGCTCGCTCGCATTACGGCAACGTCGCCCGATATCGAGGGCTAAAACACGTCGGCCGACAGGTACATACTGTGACTAATTTTGAGTGCGTTTAATGGCTCGAGCTTCGCGTATATGTATACAACGCATGCCTATATAATCTCGCGTTGCCATGCGGGAAATGCGAAATACGAGCGAACTAGGGAATCTAGAATGCGAAACTTCAGCACGTGTATGCGCGCACGAGGGTAGGTATTTAAATGCACACGAATCTAGAAGCTACGTGCCTCGTTCCGCGCGCTTACGAGCACACCCCATACGAGCGATAGATGCGGGTGGCCCACCCACGAGTCTTCGGCACTATGAGCTGCAGGTGTAATTTCAGATGCTTTAATTTCGAGCATCGTACGGTTCGAATATACGATAGGGAACATTCAATGAAAAAAATTAAACAAAATAAAACACTTTGTCGATCGTCTATCTACGTAAATGATAAAACGTGCTGCAAGAAATTCTGTGTTTGTTTTTTCATAAATATCCAATACAGTAGAAAGCAAGTTGATACTTACAGTAATTATAACATTTTATTATTTGTTTCAAATTACGTGAAGACACAAGAATAACGAAAACCATCATTATTTACGCACTATTTATTCTTATTCATCTTTTTGTCATATTTTTTAGCATTTGTGAAGCATAAGAGTTCTCTTTTCTGAACATATTGATTGAATTTAAAAAATAGAAAAATGTCATACTCTTTACATCATGAAACAACTTGATTAAAAAATTGAATAGGGTGTCTGCATGAAAAAAAAAATCATTGAAATAATTATAATATAATATAATAAAGTAAAATATACGTATCAAGGAATGTAGGAGTAAAAAAATAAACAATTTTGAACAGTCAGATAATTTTTAGTACGAGAATAAAAATCAAAAAAATTTGAAAATTATTTTGAACTCCACAAACGATTTTGATTGGTCCGCATAACTGTGACGTCATACTTATAACGTAAGTCGGCTGCTGCATGTAATTTGTATACCTATATATATGCGTCTACTGATAAGTATGACGTAATGGTCCGCTCGCACAGCTTCGGGCACTTTCGGCGCGTTTTCGGGCGTTTGAAAAGCTGTAAATTTTTAAGTAAAAACGCAATGAAAAATTAGAAAAAAAATATTCATTGACAATTCATATATGTTGATTTCAAAAATATCATTAATTTTTTTTATGCAAATACCCTATTATTCAAATTCATTGCACCATTTAATTAGAATCTCTTCTCAAGGAAAAAGCCTTCTGCGTCATGTAATATGCTTCCATGCATATTACTTTAATTCTACGTCAAACTCTTTGTAATGATTGCAGATATTCAAAGTGTTTCATTGAATGTCATTTTTATTATTTTATTTTTTTTTCTATCATCAGTAATGAATGACAAGCATTTGACAAGAGCAACTGGAAAAATAATGTTCATATCTGTGACTAACGAGATCTCTCGTGAAAAAAACGAATCGAAATTAGGCCAATTAATTGTTACACATTTTAAAATATTTCAAATATTCATTTTTTGATCATTAGGCCATAATTAATTTTGAGCATTTCCACCTGGGCTTTTCCCATATATCTCTATTTTTATTTATAAAAACTTGATTTTTTTTTCGAATTATAAAAGTGAGTAAATAAAATATCACGATCAAAGCGTACTGTGCTATTTTCATGAGCTTTTTGAAGCCTGGCAAGAACAATAATCTAAAAATTTTTATTTTACGCATAAATATTTGTTTGTCTGTTTTTTTTCTACGTGTATGCACCTCGACGTATCGCATTTTCAGCGCAATGAATGAATCAGAAGCGGAAAATATCCCCGACGAACTAATCCGCCTGACATTGTTCGACGAAACAATAGCGCGCTCGCGCATACACGCATCAACGGGCAACCCCCTTTTACCGGTCCGCGCGCATAAACCTGGAGATTTGTGCTTTTCTCATATCTCTTTCTCTCTTGGTTTTCGTTGGTGCACGCGGCAACAAAGTATAGGCAGAGAGGCTCGGGCTTGCTTCCTCTCTTGATTTTATTGTTTTGACTGGCGAAAGTCTAAGCAGATCTTGCTGCGATAACAATAGGGTATTCGATAACAATATGCGATCATCCGTCGTAGGAGGTGAAAATCATTTTCCGAAAAGAATTTTACTCGTATGCATTAATTCGTTGCCACGATAAAGATTCTGCCGTTGAGCCTCGAGACCTCGTTCTCTCTAATCTATCAGAAAACCCGATTGAAAGAGAGAGAACGTATAATATAGAGAGCAGCGAGCACGTAACAGAAGGCAACTGCATGTCTGTAGGTCAGTCGTGTAAAGTACCCTGAGCTGAAAAACCCATGTATATTATGGGCAAAGTGGACTCGACGCTACACTCGTTTGATTTTGAGCATGCCGTTGGCGCGAGCCGCTGGAGGGAAGGAGAAAAAAAATATATGTAGAAGAAGAGTATTATATATATACTCTCACAAACATGCGCACACACACACACACACACGCACTGTGCGCCTGTGCGTATACGCGAGCATGCCACAATGTTAGAAGCAAAGAGTGCTGCTATACGAAAGCTTCTGCTGCTGCTACTGATGTTGTTGGTTGCCACTGCTGCACACAGTGTGCAGCGAGCGCGAGACGAGGAAAAGAGAGAAGTATGCTTGTAGGACCCTCTGCGTTGAAGAACCTCTCCTATCGTTGTACCCCTCCACCCCCCCTCTCTCTCTCTCTCTCTTTCCCACTTCGCCTCTCTTCAAACCCTATCCAGCTCTCATTTATCAAATAAATCAACATGGCTACTTCTGTCTCTCTTATTCTCTCCCGCAGTTGCTCGGCTCATTCTTCATACCTGCGTGAGTGAACGCGAGATGTATGTTTTTTATATATACGCTTTATATTTACATGTATCTGTGTCGATGAGATTGTCGGCAGAACAGAGAAAGAAACGAGGCATTTAAGGTGACTCGTCAGCAATCATAACAATAGTACAGCGAGGCGTCTGTCCGTCTCTTTCTCGCATTAGGCAGGCAACCGCTCGCACTATTCAAAATCAATGATTTTACGCACATTTTGTTTAATTACTCATTAGTTAGTTCGGTAAGGGGTCATTTTTAACATACCAATCGAAAGTTAGTGACTCGAAACATAACATACTCGTTTTTGGTTAAGATCTGTTGTTTAATAAAAAAGTTTCGGCGTAAAATGTATAAAATTATGATGGCCTCCCATAAGAGCCCAAGTTAAATTTGCTATTTTCAACGGCTTCGTTCTCAAAAATTAGTACGGTAACCCATGCTGAAATTTTTGCAGCGTGTCAAGCACATTACAAAGAATATTTCTGCAAAGTTTCATAAACATCTGTTGTCGACTCTTTTTACTGGTGAGCCACCATAAATACGCAGTTCTGGTAGTGTAGAGAACGCAGAGAGTAGTTGTACCGATAGAGGTTTTCTAGACGATTTCACTTTCCAATTCTTCTACTACACATGTATTATATGGTGCAGTGCATCATAGAGACCATAGAGTGTATGCGTGGAGTCAGTATAAATTACGACGCCGAAGCGTGATCACCGTAATTTTTCTGAAACTAGCCTCTCATTACTCATAGCTTCGTCCACGTGTTTGAATTTTTCTGTAGATCGCAGTGCGTGCAAAGGCTAGAATTCGTTCGGAAGTCGAAGTGTAAGCAGTGAAAGAAAGAAAATAATTTCTTACGTGTTTTTTACTCTGCGTATAAATCTTGGTGCAAACATAGCGACGTTGCGAAGCTGCACTGTAAACAGCTGGAAAAATCATAAGCGACTGTGTTTTGTGTATGAAATCATGTACAATAACGACGAACGATCCGTTGGAGGTTCGCACCAAGAAGACGGCGGCGCGGGCAATGAAAACCAGAATGAAGATTTCATAAACGCGAATCTCCTCGATAAGAAACAATTGGAAGTGTTGAAGAGCTTTGTCGATTGGGACGAAGCATCGCAGCGGCACGTTATTTTTGATCAATACTTTCGCTTAATCTGCGATTGGAAGGGTCCACTCTCCGACCTTCGGGATATGTTTGAACCCGATGAAATCGAGATTCTTCTCGCGGATTCCATTGATCGCTGGGGTACAGACGAAGAGAATCAGACAGCACGATTTATCCGGTTCCTGGTCGAGGCCGGCTACAAACACAAGCCCAAAATCGATGAAGACGGCAAGTTGATATTGCATCGCTCTTCACCCATCCATTGGGCAGAATTAAACGAGCACTACCCCGTCGCTCTTGAGCTTTTTAAAATTTACGATCGATACGATGCGAATTACATCGACTCGGTTATACGACACTCGCATTTTCATGCGGTTTGCGAGTGGGGCTGTATAAACGAGGTCGAGAAATTTCTCGAGCTCGGCCTGGTGGATATCAATCTCCTCGCGAAGGAAGCTAATAGATCGCCGCTATACTCGCTTGTGGTGGGCACCCAGAATATGTCTCAAGAACACGTGAAGGTGATGAAATTGCTGCTGATGAACGGCGCTGATCCGAATTTCGCTGAAGTGGAAGGATCGACTGTTCTGCACGCGATTTGC